ACTCTTTCTGAACTAATAAAATATAACAATGTTTCAGTTTGGAAGAGCCCAAGTATTACCTGTTCATAGGGAATTAATATCTTGAAAACTGATATATAGTTAGATAAAACAAACCTGCAATAGGAAAACGAAAAGCCGTGCAATTAAAACATGTTCGTCAATGCCTTTCAATGCACAACCTCATAACAAAACGGCAATGTTGGCTCACTCAATTAGTTCCAGGGCAAAGGTTCTTGGAAGAAAAGCAACATGCAACCAGGCTGCCTGTAAAAATAATAACTTGATTAAGTCAATTTAATAACAAAGTCTTCTCAGAATACAAATGCAGAATCAGAAGCCACCCAATTGGACTAACACATACAGATCCACCTGCAGCTGAGGCTGTTAGGTCCTCAAGCAACCGCAAACCCAGTTTTCCAGTTTCGCTTAAGGTCTCTCTCGTTGCTAATGAACCACATAGAATATCCTTCTCCAATGGTCTGCTTTAATTTTTGTGTTAGTGTTTAAATACCTAAAGCTCCAAATGGCAAAGGTCCCATTTGAAATTGAGGGTAGCAAAAGTTCAAAATGTCAAAGCTTATTCCACTTTTATTTATCAGGGAAAGCAGAAATCAATTCGTATGTGATGAGGGGAACTCCTACGAACCATATTCAAGTCAAATGTGAATACATAAGCTTTTACATGACAAATAAACAGTGTTTGAAAATGAGAAAAAGGGTGAGTATGATAGTCGTGATGATTGACATACTCTGAATTACTAATATTCTGACTGAACTCTCCAGAAACTGAGCCACTCCTTGCCGCGTAACTGCTAGAGCTAAATTTCCGGGTAGGAAGAGACTCAGAAGAAACTACTTGATCAAAAATCAATGCTACTGCTTGCCTGAAGGTAGCTGCAGCAGTGCTGGAAAAAATAACATTTTTAAGACATTGGATGATCAAAATCCTGGAAAAATAAGGCAGGTAAGGCTTGTAGAACTAGGATTACTTGTATACACTGGGAGAAGATCGATTGTTATCAAGAAGCCTGAGACAAATACCTAGTCCCAGAACCATGTTATCCTGAAATGAAGGAAACGGCCAAAGCCTCACGAGTAGCACAAACCATAACTAAAAAAAGGAAGAAGCTGCACATGCATGAACAACAAACAGCTTTGTATAGCATTGTAATTTGTTGGGCTCAAAATACAAGCCTCCCAATATCAACTATTGGCATGTGCATTTCTCTTATACTCAAGACTTTTTAATTTTCTTTTGCGCCAATGACTAGAATTGCGCCTGATTGATGAGTTCAATTTATAACAGTCTCCCAGAAGTTTTCCTGCTG